ATTCTGCTTGCTAAGACAAGTCAAGTCTGCTTGATTTGACCCAGAACCTTATCCTTTCTAATTGTTGTGACTTGGATGGAATACGCTAGCAACATGCTTCGCAAAAATGTGACTCTAGCAGAACTTGGTTCTCCCTTCCCTATGTCAACACCAGGAATTTTGCCAGCACGTCTATTCTTACAAATGCTCTACTGTTTCTTTTTTTTTCTATCTTCCCTCTCCAGTGTTAAGAATCAACTCTATGCCTTCACACATGCTCAACTACTGAGTTGTGCTCTAGCCCCATGGTGTCTTGTAAATTTATATTAGATTAGAAAGATTTGACAACTGAAGGTAAGAGATTATATTTTAAATATTGGTTACAAATGATCTTAAATGAGATAACCAAATTCTAGGCCTGTTTGTTTGGCAAGAAAACTTCATCAGTTGTTTCAAAAAATGCCAGGTGTTTAGGAGGTACACTTGTGGTCAGAGGTAGGCAAACAGAGGTAGGCAACTGTGGGGACATCTACCTGGCCAAGAATTTGAAGGGCTGTGTCAAGCAATTTTCATTACTATGACAACATACCTAAGAAAAGAACTTAATAGAGAAAGGCTTATTTTCCTGACAATATTAGAGGTTTCAGACCATGGTTGCTGGTTCCATTGTTTCTGGGCCTGTGGTGAAGCAGTGCACCATGGGCAAACTGCTCACCTCATGCTGGGCCAGGAAGCCAGCAGACATCAGGAAGTGTCAGGGACAAGTTACATCTTTCCAAGGTGTTGACCTACTTTTCCAACAAGGCACACTTCACTACTGCTCCATAATGTCATATTCTGACATCTTCAAGGGGCTAGTCCATTGATTAGGGTACAGTTCTCATAATCCAATCTCCATGTGAGGATTGGATCTACTAGCTGGAAACAAAATCTTTTCAGAAAATTAAAATGCTAACATCTTCAATTTAAAAATAGTTTTATTATTTATAATTTCATACATATATACAATTTATCTTGAGCATATCCACACTCAACTATTCCCTTCTACTGCTCTAGGATATTTGCCCCAACACATGTCTCTCTCATCGTTTTTTTAATCCACCCCATTTTTTAACCAATTGAGTTCAATTAGAGCTACCTGCAGACACATAGGCACCCCATCAGTGGCCACACCCTCAAAGAAAAATGACTCCCTTTACCCTAGCACCCAGCGATTGCCAACAGCTCTTCAGTGAGGAGTAGAGCCTTAAAAACCTCTTCTCCATCCATGCTAGAATTATCAACTGGCTTGACCTTGTGCAGTTAACTGAAGGTTCTGTAAATTCATGAGTGCGACTACTAGATGTCCAGAAAATTGTAAAATGTTAACATTTTATTATTTTAATACAGTATTTTTCTAATTCTCTGAGAGTTTTATATCAGTGTACAGTACATTTTGACCTTAACTGTCCTCTCTAACTTCCCGGAACCTCCCAAATATATATTCTCTGTCTTCTTTAAAAATTTACAAAATCTAACTCACTGAGTATAATTAATACTGCCTATATATGCATGCATGTGGGGCCATCCACTGGGGTATGGACAACCAACCAGCGGCCACACCCCCAACTAAAAGTGACTCTTCCTTCCCCATCAACTCCTAATAGCTCCTCAGCTAGGGATGGAGCCTCTGGAACCTCTCCCACCATCCATGCTGGAATTCTGGCTGCTTTGCTCTTATGCTGCTTTGTGCTGATAACCACAGCTGTTGCGAGTTCATGAGTCATATAGCCATGTCATATCCAGGAGTCTGCATCTCAAAGCACTCTGTCCATGCCCTTGCCCTGACATTCCTTCCAACCAATCTCCCATGATGTTCCCTGAACATTTAGGGGTGGTGACTAAACACTTAACACATGAGCCTTTGCAGGGGATACCATATGAAGACACTTTATGTCAATGTATGTTCCAAATCATTTGCTTGAGAATCTCCAAAACGTACTTCAAAAGGTAAGGGGAAAAGAGAATTTACTTAAAGGATAAGTGAGAATCTTATTTTATCCAACTACAAATAGTACTATAGAGCCTCATAAATGTTGAAAAATCTCCAGAAAATTGACTTTCTCGCTCTCTTTTTCCTCTTTAGACAATATCATTTCCCTTTTCTGCACCTCTTTGTAGGTTAATTTCCTTATGGAGCTGGACTTCTTCAAAAGGATCTTGGTTTCTGTTCTTGGATGACTTCCAGGTAACATGAGAATTCGGAGCTGCTATGATGCCATTTGACACAAGCCTGGCCAAATATTGCCACTTCCACACCCTCAACTGATCAGTGAATAAAACTCCAGGCCTCTCAGTTAAAATTCTTATGAAAGATAATCTGATTGACCCACAGAACTTTGAGTTTATATCCCCTAGTTTCTATGTAGCAAGCCTTTGGGGCTGGCAAGTTTATGACCTTGTGGTGTAAATGGTAGGCATGGGTATGTTAAGAAGGGAGGTTTTCTTAGACAGTGAGCAGGGTTAGAAGTCAGGCAAGGGTTACCATACAGTGAAATTACAAAGGGCTTGGTGAAGCTATGAAACTCAGTGATCACTCACAGCTACCAAAGAGGCCATTCTTTGGGGGAGTGGGACAACAACTTCAACTTGTGCAGGTCTTGATAGGTAGTTGCCTAAAATGCAAGTTCCTTTGTATAAATGTGTGAACTGTCATCACAGGAGCAGAGTATAGTTCAAAATTTGTTCATTTTCCAAAGGGAAATTACAGTTGTTTGCTTTTTACTCTTTATTCTTTATTCTCTGGGGGCCTGACACCCAGCTCCCAAATAAATACATGGAAACTTATTATTTCTTATAAATGTCTGGTCTTAGCTTGGCTTGTTTCTAGCCAGCCTTTCTTAAATTATCCTGACCATCTTTTGCCTCAGGGCTTTTATTTTTCTCTATTCTATATATCTCTCTTTACTTCTTACCTCACGGCTTGCTGTGTAGCTGGTGGCTGGCCCCTGATGTCCTTCTCTCCTCCTTCTTTTCTCATTCCTCAATCTTCTCTTTCCAGATTTCTCCTCCTATTTATTCTCTATGCCTGCCAGCCCCACCTATCCTTTCTCCTGCCTAGCTATTGACCATTCAGCTCTTTATTAGACTAATCAGGTATTTTAGATAGTCAAAGCCACACAGCTTCACAGAGTTAAACAAATGCAACATAAAAGAATTCAACACATCTTTGCATCATTAAACAAATATCACAGCATAAACAAATATAACACATCTTAAAACAATATACCACAACAAGAAATCTGATTGCATATATAAAAAAGACAAACACTTTGAAAAATATCAGTACACTGGGATTAGCACAGCAAAACAGGAAGCAATAGTGAATAAAGACATGCATCAAAAATAGTTTACATGAAGCTAGAGTGGCAGCTTTTCTTATATTTGTGCACACTAATTCTTCCCTCCAGCATGCCTCCATTTTTTGTAAATCACTCTATTCCTTACAAAACAGTATTCACTCTTAAAGACCTAGATTAATAATCCTGTCTAGAAAGCCTTCTCAGACAGAGTCTATTTTGAATGTCATATATGATCATCCTTCTTTTTGGTCACAGATAATTGAAATAGAAAGTCCATATGGACAAGAATCTCATTTAATTATTACTTTAACTTTCAACAACATCTATTCTATAAGTTACATGGATTTTAAAATAATATTTATGATCAAAATCAAATAACCAAGTACAATGGCTAACAGTCTCACTTTATGCAGAAAGTAAGGCAAACTCTGTGGATCAGGGCACAAGGTCAATGGTGCACATTACTTTTAAGACATCCACAATGTGATCATTTTCATTATCCCCATGATTATTTTACTCATTTAACAGATGTATCTTTAAGATTCCTTATGTCTACATTACCACAATTGATGCTTTTATGCAACTACAACAAAATAATAAAACACGAAAAAAACTCTAACTTTTTCTTTGTCACACATTAATTATAAATATAGTGTACTAACGTCAAAAGTGGGGCTGGAGTGATGGCTCAGTTCACAAAATCTTTGTTATGGAAGCAAGAGGACCTGGGTTCAGGTCTCTGGCACCCACTCAAACAAGCCAGGTGTAACGCTATGTGCCTGTATTCCTAGCACTGGTAAGGTGGAGACAGGAGGACCTTTGGGGCTTGCTGGACAATCACTCTAGCTAGTTTGTAAGCTCTAGGTTCAGTGAGAAAAACTGTCTAAAAACAAAACAACCCCCCAAGCCAAACAACAACAACAACAAAACAAGGTAGAGAGCAATAGAGAAAATTACCAAATGTTGACCTCTGGCCTCCACGCACACAAGTACATTGGCCTATGTTAATGTGCACCTACTTACCTGTTGTTGGTGGTATTTTTCTCTTTTTGGGGTGCCCGTCCCCCAGCTCCCAAATAAATTAACACATGGAGGCTTATTATTATTTATGAATGCCCGGCCTTAGTTTGGCTTAGTTTCTTGCCAGTTTTTCTTAACTTTAAATTATCCTGTCTATCTTTTGCCTCTGGGCTTTTCCTTTTCTATACCTGTATACCTTTCTTTGTTTCTTATTCAGTGGCTTGCTGTGTAGCTGGCTGGCTGGCCCCTGGAGTCCTCCTTTTCTGGCTTCTCCCTTCTCTCACTCCTCCATCTCTTTTCTCCTTCTTCTCACAGATTTCTCCTTCTATATGTTCTCTCTGCCTGCCAGGTCCACCTATTTCTCTCTCCTGCCTCACTATTGGCCATTTAGCTCTTTATTAGACCATCAGGTGTTTTAGACAGGCACAGTAACACATCTTCACAGAGTTAAAGAAATGCAACATAAACAAAAGTGTCACACCTTAAAATAATATTCCTCAACACCTACCCACCCTTCCAAATACACATAGTATAATTTATAAAGATATTTTTAGAAGAGTAGAATGTTTTTAATAATCTCCAAAGAGGGAGAACTGTAAAACAAATATTAAGCAATAATTCACTAAAGACAATCTGGGCAAGGCAACTTATTCAGGAAATTAGGTTTTTATAAGTAAATCAAAAAAGTAAATTAAATGATAAAGGTTTTGGCAAAATCTTGGAGGTTAGGATTTTAGTGATGTGTTTAACAGATATGTATTGAATCCACACAAAATGCCAGGCATTGTGCTGGCTTATAAAATGCAGGAGCAAACAAGATAAACTCAGTCTCTGCCTCCACACAGTGTACAGAAAGTCACAAAGTATTAGAAGTCATACAAGGTTTTTGGGTGAGACAGAACATTTCTGGGTCCAGTTGTGCTTAATCCAAGGATCTGGGATGTCAGACACAGAAACCAAGGACTGACTTAGGATAGTGGCTCCAGCAAAGATTAAAGACATGAACACTCTAGGAATAAGCAAGACAGAAGCAAGGTTTATTAATAAGAATTACAGAAAAGTGCAAAATTGAGAAAAATTGAAACTCCTGAGAGGAGAAGGGGTGCCTAAGAGAAGGGAAAAAACCCAAGAATTTTTGTTTTTTGTTTTGTTTGTCTTACATTTTTATAGACACTGGACAAAGGCTGATTTAACTGCTATGGGATTATAGGTTCTCTGCATTAGGATGGGCTGAGCCAAAGGAGGGCACACACATTCTATGCCCTCTTGGCCTCACCAGGAAGACAACTGTCATCTGTTCATCCTCTATCCACTCAGTTAGGAGCCGTCACACTTCCCTCTGTCTCTTGACTTAATATTTTAGCAGCTGTGATGGTTATTCTTGGCTGTCAACTTGACTACATTGGGAATGAACTACAATCCAGATGTGGAGGGCACACCAATGAGAGATTTTCCCTTGCTCTGAAGTGGGTGAATTGACTTCTAGTCAGGACCTTTGAGGTAGGAAGACACACATCTTTAATCCAGATCTTGAATTGGGAGGACACACCTTTACCTCTGGGCCACATCTTCTGGAAGCCTAAAAAAGACATGAAAGAAGGAAGTTTGGCTCTTTGCCTGCCCGTTCTCATCTTGCTAGCAAGTCCATTCCTTCACTGATACTAAAGACTACTTCTTTGGGATTCCAGTGTCTACTGAAGATCAGCTGAGACATCAGCCTTGTAGACTGAGCTACTTTGGGATTCTTGGACTTTCCATTCATAGCCAGGCATTGTTGGATTAGTTGGACCATGGCCCACTGTTAGTGATTCTAATAAATCCCTGTTCTATATATAGAAAAAGAGATTCATTCTATAAGTTCTGCTATTCTAGAGAACCTTGGCTAACTGTGACTAACACAGCAGCTGACCTTGACTATCGGCTGGCCGTTAGCTGTGGCTGGCACTGCCTTCATCCACTGTGCAGGTAGGTGCCTTGCTGATGGTTAATTAAACTAAGATCTCTTTGTTCTCACACTTACATAACCGACTTGGACCTTGACCACAGCAGAGAGCTAACTCTATCACAGCCACAAAGATGTAACTGCAGACTTGTCTATAATCCCAGCACTTGGAAGATAGAGACAGGAGGATGAGAATTTTAACACCAGCTTCAGCTATGTAGTGAGCTCAAGGTCAGTCTAGGTTACATAAATCCTGTCTCCATAAAACCTCAAAAACATAAAGAAGAAAAAAAGAGAGAGAAGAGGAGGAGTAAGAAGGAAGGAGAGGAGGGAGAGACAGGAAAAGGAGGCGGATCATTCTTTTTGAGTTTGTCTGTGAGGGAATTTCCAGACAGGAATAGTTTGTGGGCCCATGAGCTCAGTGAGGAAGACACAGTTTGGAGATGAGAGAGTACCATCCTTGAAGGTCAATAGAACAGAAAAATGCAAGAAGTTCAAACATCTGATTCTCCCTCACTGAACAAGGTGTGCTTTTTCTCCTGCTGCTGTGAGTGTATGAGCCGATTTCCTAATATATCCGTGTGTGTGTGTGTGTGTGTGTGTGTGTGTGTGTGTGTGTGTTACTCGTTCGGATTATCTGAAGAACTCTCATACAGTGAACAAAAATAAGATAGTTTTGTAAGATACAGTTGCTTCAATTTATTGTCAACTCTTATTTATTTATTTATTTATTTATTTATTTATTTATTTATTTATGCATGTATTTATTTGAGACAGATTCCCATTGTCTCACAGTGTAGCCCTGGCTGCTCTGGAACTCACTATGTCAATCAAGTTGGTCTCAAAGTCACAGAGACCCACCTGCCTCCATTGCCCAAGTGCTGGGATCAAAGGTGTGTGACATTATGCTTGTCTATTATCTATTATCAGCTCTTTTTTTTTTTTTTCTGAGACAGGGTTTCTCTGTGTAGTTTTTGGTGCCTGTCCTGGAACTCACTCTGTAGACCAGGCTGGCCTCAAACTCACAGAGATCTGCCTGACTCTGCCTCCTGAGTGCTGGGATTAAAGGCGTTCGCCACCGCCGCCTAGCCCTGCTATCAACTCTTAAGTCTAATATCCTTGATACCATTGTGCCTTACCTGACAATGAGTAGGAGGGAGTTGCTCCCAGGTAGGTAGCTTGGCTAATTTCTCTGCCTTGGGAGGAGTCCTGAAGGAAGCAGCAGGTTGTTTTGAGTGGCACTGCCAAGTAGAGAGTTCAGGCTTTCACTAGCTGTAGAGGGCAACGGCACTAGGAAAGGTGAGCAATAAGAGGAGCACTCAAGTGAATGATGGATCTGAAGCAAAGCTGTCCTTACCCACTAGCACACATGGGAGAGGAAACTCAAGGTATAGGGGAACGTGGACAGGCTGGTGCAGTTAGCATAGTGCTGGGAAATTTGGTTCCTGCCTGAGTGGGCATGGAAGCTGTCTTGTTCATTATAGAATGTTTAGTACTACTCTCCAGATGGCAATCAAAACCACCTTCCTAAAAAATCATCTCTCTCTCTCTTTCTCTCTCTCTCTCTCTCTCTCTCTCTCTCTCTCTCTCTCTCTCTCTCTCTCTCTTTCTCTCTCTCACACACACACACACACACACACACACACACACACACACACAACTTCAAGGCATCACTGAATTCCTCTGCAATGCAAAATTGTCCCAGGTTAAGAACCACTTTAGTGAACTTGTTCTCTATTGCTGGATATCAAATTATGTCCCAAGACTCGGTGGCTTACAATTATAATGAAGCCATTCCATTAAATTCATTGTTTTGAGGGTCAGGCAGGTGAATGACTTAACTGAGTGGATTTGGTTTCATATCTCTGTGAGACTGTGGTCAAGATGATATCCTTTGAAGTACTGAAGGATCCAATCCACTTCTCTAAGTTACTCAAGTGGTAATTGGCAGGGGGCCTCAGCTCCTTCCTGGTCTCAGGCAAGATGCCATAGTTTCTTACAATGTGGGTTCCTTCTCAGGGCTGCCTAGCAGGTCCTTACTTGCTAATGATCTGAGGGGGCAGAGGCGGGCCTTTTGTATTAGGCTTTTTCTTTTAGGCCAGCCACTAACCAGGTCCCAAATCATGACACGGAAACTTACTACTAGTTTTGAATGCTCAGCCTAGCTTAGGCTCATTTCCGGCTAGCTCTTTTAACTTAAATTAACCTGTTTATCTACGTTTTGCCTTGGGGCTTTTTACTTTTTCTTATTTTCTTTCTGTATGTCTTACTCTGTGTCTGCCAGCTGGCAGCTGCCTGGCTTCTTGTTCCAGGCATCTCCCTTGTTCTCTTCTCGTTCTTTCTTATTCCTCTCGAGCCTAAATTTCTCCCATTTATTCTGTATTTATTCTCCAATTTATTCTACTTCTCCTATTTATTCTATTACTCTAATTTATTCCCTGCCAGCTCCTGCTATCATTTTTCTGCCTAGCTATTGGCCATTCAGCTTTTTATTAGACCAATCAGGTGCCTTAGGCAGGCTTGGTGAAATAAATTCAACACATCTTTACATAATTAAACACACATCCTTACATCATTAAACAAATGCAGATGAACAAAGGTAACACAACTTTACACAGTTAAAATAATATTCTGCAGCATAATGAAATATTCCACAATACCCTTTTATGACCCAATGTCAGAAGTGACAACTCAGCTTTGTTATGTATGTTAGAACCACGTTGCCAACTGTGGGCCATACTGGAAGAGAATTAGGCTCTAGTTTGTGAGGGAAGAAGTGTCCACAAATTTGTGAACACATTTTTTAAGATCACTACCATTGGAGAAAAGTCCTTTAGCAAATAGAATGGAAAGCACCATGAGCTACTTAAAGAAAAATATTATTTCATCACTCTAAAACAAATGCTAGATGATTGTTTAGTGAAACAGTAAATTGTTAAGCAAGTAGAAAACAGACAAATTATATGCTGTTAGGATGAAATGGATGTGTGAAGTCTAAAAGAAAACAAAAATAAAAGAAGACAAATGTTTCACCTAAATCAATATCTATATATATGAAGTGGCAGTGAATAGTTCTGTAAGAAAGTGGGTAATGATGGATAAGTACACATTTGCTCGTATGGAATGAACCACGATCACTTGGGCACAGTAATCTCATACAGTGATGTGGAAAAACTGGTAATAATACAGCAACAGTAGTTTGTTGACTAGCCTATGTGTTAGATGTCTGTAAGTATTGTACTTGTAGCAAATTATTTTTTACTATATCATGTAGTCATCACCATACCAGTTTTCTAGCTTAGGTACAATCAGATCAAGGAACTCATAGTTTGTGGTGGCAACTGGGCTGGCTCATGCATTTAGGCAGCATGGGTGCAATGGCTCTGACTCACAATACTTCCAGGGCCCAGAAAACCGGTTTAAATCCCATGAAGATTGAAGGGAAAAATGTAAATACCAAATACAGTTCTTTAAAGTATAGTGTCAACACATTTTCCATGGACCAATGCAAACAGAAAATACAGTTTGCAGAGGTTTTTGTTTGTTTGTTCAGATGGAAGAGGAGGCCTCTCGGATAGTTTCTAAGGTCCTGAAAATGAGAATTCACTTGCAGTGGCAGAGCTATGCTTTGATCCCAGCAACGTGTCACCTAAGCCTACATTTTCCCTGCAAGGCAACTTGCCAATGAGTTTCAAAAGGGCTAAACTTATTCACACCCTGTGATTACTTTGGAGGAGTTGAGACGGTAAACAAGGACATGGGAAATATTGATGAAAAGATACTTATAACAGTGTTCATTGAAAACTAAGGAAATATTCAATAAAAACAAATGTTTGATATTAGGTATGTACTTTGGGATAGGAGAACCCCAGGAACTTCTTATAGGACCACAGGGAAAGGGGAAAGTCTGAGCCACTGGGATTGAGACAGTGAGGCAGAGCAGGCAGAAGAAGGCCTTCACGCAATCTCTGGAGGAAGGCAGCCCTCGAAGGGTGTTTTGAAACAGCTGCTGCATTTATTTAAAGAAATCTTATAGCAAAAAGGTCCAGACCATGTCAAGGCAGCATGGTTTAAACACAGAGCCAAGTGAGCGCATTCAGTGATCTCCTAACAATACAAACAGCATATGGGCTTGAAGGTGCTTTGAAAAGTACATTGTCATAAAAGCTGAGGAGCCAATGAATTCAACCAGTAGAGTGATGTGGTGGTTGGTGTTCACTGGAAACTTGTCAGGATCTAGCTTCACTGGGAGACAGGCCTCTGACATTGCCTATGAAGGATTATCTTCGTTATGTTAACCGAGGTGGGAAGACCAATCTTAAGTGTGGGCAGGGCCATTCTATAGGCAATGGATTCTGGACTACATACGATGAAGAAGCATGATGAGCATGCCTCTCTCTCTGCTTCCTGACCTCTGATTTATTGTGACCAGCTATATCGAGCCCCTGCAACCAGATATGTGCCAGAATAAACTCCTTTATTCTCAAGTCGCTTTTGACAGTATTTTACCACAGCAAGAGGAATAGAATGTAGAATTGTCATGTACATTTCCTAGTGATTTTTGTGCATCATGTGCACACGCACCTAACTTATATGTGAAGTTGGGGGCAGTAACTACTGTACCAGAGTGGAAGAGAATGTATATGTGTTCATTCAAGAGGTATTTACAGAGTCCTACATATACTCATGGAGTCTTAGTAGTCTTGTTATTCTATTCTTTCAAAATTTACAACAACGACACAAAAAGAGTGACTCAGAAAAGTGGTTTAAAGTCAACAAAAAATTTGGACCAGAGAAGCCTTAAAAGGTGATTATGCTGAGAAGTTGTTACCCATGGGGCAGTGAGGTTAAAGACATGTTAAGGCGTCACAGGCAACCGTGGAGAGGTCTTATTTGAAAAGAAGCCAGCATTTCTGAACTTCTGAAGCAAGAGAACCAGTAGACTCTGGGGTGGGTGTAAGTAATTTGTGGGGCCTAGGTGAGGTGTTTGGCTAACAACTGTACAATGCCGGAAGAACTTTGTTCTTTCTCTGAAGTAGAATAGCAGGCCATATGGTAAATGGTCATCACTGACTTGTATTTGCAGTGTGACCTTTCTCACAACAGCAATGTAAATTACCAACCGAGCTTTTCTAACCAGTTGACTCATTGTGCAATGGAGTCAAGAGACGCTACCTTTCAAGATTGCTGTACTGCTTAGCTGCACGGATACGGATCCGTGCATTTGCTCAATCAGCAGCAGCTTTGTTACTGGGCCAGCGTGGTGCCAAGGGAAGGGCACAATTTGATTACCAACACAAATGCAAGTCTTTTCGTGTGACCATTTGCGAATGGACCCCAAATATTAAGCGATGTCAAAGAGTGTTCATTCACAGCCTCCTTTTGCTGTGAAGTGCTGGAGTAAGCACGTAACTGACCGGAGGATCTTCCCCGAGGCTGTGCACGAGGCTCTGCAGCTGACTGAACAGACCAGGTAACAGTAAGCTTCCAGCTTCCAAAGTCCCCACCGGCTTCCTGGCGGCGGCCCCGCCCCCTTTCCGGCTCTGGACCCGCCCCTTCCCTCCTATTGGTCGACTTGCATCTCCGCTCGACCGTCGCGAAGACCCGGAGCAGCGGAGCCGTCCTCAGGAGGGCTCGGCGGGCGCTCGCCGCGCATGCTCGTGGGCCGCCGGAGTCCGGGTCTGGACTAGAGGCTCGGAGCGGCCCCGGTGGGGAGGCGCGCCCGCGCGCGGCACCGGCGTCGCGAGTACGCTGCGCGTCCCCGAGAAAGGGAGGTGTGGGCCGGGGCGGGGTGGGGGGAGGGCCGGGTGTCGGCGCGCTCGGCGTGCGGGATCCGGGTGGCTGCGGGCGGCCTGGGCTGCCCGGCCGACGCCTGCTGCGAGATGGCGATCTTGGGCGCGGAGGGCTGAGGAGGCGCCGCCGCGGTGGCCGCGGGCCCCGGGAGCCGCAGCTTCGCGCGGGTAAGCACAGTGGGACGCGGGAGGGAGCCTGGAGGGCGGCCGGGCCGGAGTTCGCTGGGGTGGGGTCGCCGGGCTTGCCCCGAGCTGGCGCTGGCACCAGCCGGTGCGGGTGACACCGGAGCCCGGCGAAGTGTCTCGGGGACTGCAGTGCTCAGCCTCCTGGCCGGCGGCTCGCTAGCCTTCCTGCTTGCCTGCCTCGGAACTGCTGCCCTGACTTTCACCGGGATCCCACCGGCGCGAGCCGGGACGCCAGCCTCAGAACGTCCTTTCCTGACATGTTTTTAGCGTTTCAGGGTTTTTCACTGACTCCGCACCTCCTCCCACCAACAACCCCCCCCCCCCCCCCAATCTCTACCTTTGGTGACCTGGTAGGTTCAAGTGACCTTGCAAATTTTTCTAATCCCCATCTTGTGATTTGGGCCGTTTCCTTTAAATCTTCTTTTAAGATTTAAGTGTGGTTAGGATTGGTACTTTGCCCATCGCCTTTACAGTCTTTAAATGATCAGTTTTGTGTGCCTAAGGACTCTGTGTCCCTTTCCTTTACTCCTAGGTTTGGAGTTGAAGTTCCTCTGCTTTAAGCGATCATAAGAAGCCTTTATTACCAAAAAGAAGATGTATCTGTTATACTTTTGAAATATTTTACTCTTCTACCATAAAATAATTCACAGATATCTGGTAATTTTTTATTAGATTTTTAGGTTTTTGTGTGCAGTACGATTGAATTTCTACTCTTAAAATGCTGCCCCCCCCAAAAAAAAACCACTCAGAGTTATCTTCCCACTCCCGTTTGGTGTTTTTTTGTTTTTTTGTTTTTTTTTTCTCTCATGAAATACCAGTTTCACAGTTGTCTGTAAGTTTCTGCAAGAGTTTATACTTATGTGTAAATCCACTTGACATGTCTCACCAAGTCTGTAACTGTTAGTAAAACTTACCTTTTAGAAAAGACATTCTTTCATTTATCTGACTTGCACTAGCCATGAAGTAATATACTTAAACTGACTGAAAAGTATCGTTTTTTAATAACTAGTTAACATTTTAAATTCAAAGTATAGTGACCAAGTGTTGGGAGCTGTTGAAATTGAGATGTGTGAAGAATGTGGCTTAGCTCTTTGAGACATAGATTATTAACATTTTCAAACAGCTCTTCACATAACGTTCAGAGCTGCTTTTGATACGCTGCTTTTGAAACCCAGGACATGGCTGATCAGGTCTCTTGCCTTCAAAGAGATGTAATCTCTTCAGCTGGTTGAAATTTCTTTTACATTCTTGCACAGTTATTAAGCATCAACTGTATGACAGTGTGAGTTTATATTGGGGTGTATTATATTGATGAAATGATTAGCAGCTTCTGTCTTTACAGCATAAGGAGGAAGGTATGTATGTTAGATTATACACAAATGCTCCTTTTATGTTTGTGTGAATAAATGGCAGGATCTCACTGTGTAGCCCAATTTGGCCTTGAAGTTGCCATCTTCCTGCCACAGACCTGAGCTCACAGGCCTATGCCACCATGCCTAGAATACCTTTGTGTGTGTGTGTGTGTGTGTGTGTGTGTGTGTGTGTGTGTGTGTGTTTGTGTGTGTGTTGGTCTCATAAATATAAAAATTATCTCAATTCAAGATGAGAGACAGTAGTTCTCAGATGAGTTAAGGGCTTCTCCTTTGAAGATGCTGGATTGAAGGATGACTGATTTTTCGTAAGCAGGGAAAGGTAATTCAAGAAGAAGGATCTAAGAGGATTTGGGTGGTGTCTAAAGGATTTGTACTTAGGATGTAGGGTAAGAAAGCCTGTAATAAAAACCAAGACCAGTAACAAAATTTTTCTTTTTTCTTTTTGAGACAAGGCTTTGCTATGTAGCCGTGACTGACCTGGAACTTGCTTGCTATGTAGACCAGACTGGCCTTAAACTCATGGATATCCACCTCCCTCTGCCTTCAGAGCCCTGGAATTAAAGGGGTGTGCCATCACTCACGGCATAAGAGTATGGTTAATGTTAGACTAATGACTAGGTTACTAGGGCAGTCTGGAGATGGAGTGAAACAATTTTAAACCTTTGTTTAGAAGAATTAATCTAGTAGCATTAGAGTATGAGTTGAGGTGGGAAGAACCTAAAGGTTCATAAACCTCAGGATTTCCATCATCATAGGTAGCAAGGGTCTGAACAAATGGAACGGACAAAGAAAGTAGGATAGAATTTGGTGATCAGGTAAAAGAAGAAAGTTAAAATAATTGGCAAGATGACTCTGGGTAAAGGTGCTTTCTGCCAAGCCTGATGACCTCATTTCGTTAATAGGAACCCACGGGGTAGTAAGGTAATCTACTCCCAAAGTTGTTCTCTAACCTTCGCACTTGCCCAGTGACACAAGCACATCTTCTTCCACCCACAAAAGAATTGTTTTTCTTTTTTTCCTTTTTTTTGAGACAGAATCTCACTATGTAGCTCTAGTTGTCCTGGAACTCACTATGTAAACTGGGCTGGTCTTGAACTCACAGAGATCTGCCTGCTCTGTTTCCTGAGTGCTAGGATTAAAGGTATGCACTACTATGAGCTAAAGTAGTTGTTTTTATAAAAGTTAAAATAGCCAGGCGGCAATCGCGAACACCTTTAATCCCAGCACTCAGGAGGCAGAGCCAGGCGGATCTCTGTGAGATCAAGGCCAGCCTGGTCTACAGAGCAAGATCCAGGACAGGCACCAAAACTACATAGAGAAACCCTGTCTCAAACGCCCCCCCCATCCCCCACCCCCCAAGAAAGTTAAAATAATGGTTCTGATTCAGGTCCGTAGAGAGACTAGTGGTAGCTTAGCCATATTATCCTTAGTAAGAGATCATAAGGTTCTTAGTCTTTTGGGGATTGCTAACCCTTGTTGAAACTAAAGAAATCTCTTGGCCAGATGCATCTGTGCTTTGTGGATGTGATTTTAGGGTAGTCTGTGGATTACACGAAGCTCCTACATGAAACTCATGGGCCGTCTATTGTGGGGGGGGGGGCGGCGCTTCAGAGTTACAGGAAAGTTAATGACCCTGACTGTAGACATATATTGTGCAAGTACCTAGAGACAGAATGCACTGTGTTGTGCCTCACACTTTCTATGATACTGCCTTTTATTTGTTATATTTTGGAATAAACTTGCCCAATAGCTGTCTGTCACAAGTCCAGTTGCATGTGGTAAAATAGAATCCGGAGTTGTTAACAGTGATGGTTTTCTTTTCTTTCTTTTCTTTTCTTTCTTTCTTTCTTTTTTTTTTTTTGTACAAAGACAACACAACTGATTTACTATTGATTGGATATAGTTAATGTCTTGTAAGTGAGGCCAGGAGGTTCCTTCCAGTTTAAGGTTTTGTGATTCTTGGTGCTTAGGTTTTCATTGGAACATCTGTACTCATCTTTTCTTCTGTCTACTTGAGAACTAGTGAGACTGAGGAATGATATGGGTGTGTGGAGAACAGATAGCAATATCAGTTCAGACACTTTAATTATAACTGTCTCTGTGGCTTTCAGTTAGGAATCGGGAAGAGATGGTAGAGGTACCAGCAGTGGAAGAAGAAACTCTTAGTCTTTTCTATTCCTGTTTGCCTGGCTTAGGAATATGCCTGTCCTTCAATCAGGAGGCAATATGTGATAAAAGAAGTGAAATGGGGGTTCATTTTCAGTGAATTTTCTGAAGAGGATTAAGTAGCTGATTCTCACTATGGTAGTTATGGCATAGTTTGATTAGTTAAGAGTTGACTTCTCTGCACCCTTAAAAGATTGTTTCTCTGGTGGGAGGGATTGTCTCCTTGTTGTTAGTTGGTTTCTTTTCTAACTATAGAAACCTTGATTTTGTAATCATTAGACCGGGTCTCACTATGTAACCCTGACTGGCCTGGAATTCCCTGTGTGGACTTTGAATTCACAGAGGTCTGCCTCTGCCTCTCAAAAGTGGTGGCACCAAAGGCCTATGTCAGCACACCTGGCAAAATAATTTTACTTTCATAGAGATGTATGATGTAATTATAATGAACAGTGGAAAACCCAATAAATTGCTTATTATGAGTGGTATCCAAGGAGCTAGTCCCTAATGCAAGTGGAAGAATGTCTGGCAAAAACACACACGGATTTTCCTTTATTTGCTGATATGGAGATGAATAGCTCATGGCAGAACTGTGGTATTTTTTTTTTTTCATTCGTTTTATGGTAGTTTTTACACTTTATCATGTGATTCTTGAGGCATTTGAGAATTAGGTGGGTAGAGAGGAAACCATCATGTTCTAATCTAGATGGTTCATTGCAGCTTTAAAGGTTAAGTGTCCTGTATGACTAGTTAGCAGCCCAGATTAGAATCAGAACTATAACCTACATTTCTGTTCTTAATTCACTATCATTTCCACCAAATTTCTGGTCTTTTGCCTACAGTGGACCTTGAAGTTATAAGGTGTGTGAAGACTACCTGTTGGAAGTGTTTGTTGCATTCCTTGTGTTGACATGGTAACTTCATTTGATGTGGTTACTGGTCGGTAATTTGGAAATTTATAAATATTTTATCACCAAATAGTTAATCTCTAGTCAAGGATAAAGATGTAAA